ACTGCTATGTAGATTTACTGCAAGAAATCTTGTTTATCATATGAATAAACTGAAGCAATCAAATGATGTTTGAGATTTTAACACAAATATAACATCAAATTTACAGAAGTTTTGATGGCTTTTTTTTTTCTCTTTGCTTCTTGTAACCAATATTGTAGTTTCCTGAATTTTTACAACTGCTGATAACTGTTTGTGGTGTGAATTCACTGAATTTTTTCACTTATCATCTTGTCATCTTCTAATAAAAATATAAATTTGCTAATAAATATAAAAAAGGTTAAGAAAAAAAAGAAAAAGAAAGTGTTTTTCTATCAACCGGTTAATCGAATAATTGTTAAATTAAACTTAACCATAGTTGCTGTATTGTTTCTGATGTTAAAATTGTTGTTTTAAGATTTCAATGTATCTCTTTTCCCCATTTTTTAAGTTGATTTTTTTTTTGATGCCATATTTAAACTGTAACTAACTTTACAATAGCCAAACACAAATGTATCACTTCAAAAAAAAAAAAAACTTCTGTTTGTTGCTGAATAAAAAGACAAGAAAAAAAAGAAAAGTTCTGATTTTTATGATTGTAAAATAAAAAAAATTGTACTGCTCAATCAAATAAACCATTGTTGGTTGACGAGCGGTTAATCCGTATGATAAAAGATTTTTAAAAACTGAGAAAAATGTGTCATAGTGATGTTAAAATAATATTTGGATAATAAAATTAAACTAACGTAAACTATTAAATCAGCGTTTACGATAGTGAAAAAAAAAAATTTTTTTTTTTTTTGGCTAATCAATGAAAAATTTTTTAGTGTGAAATTTTTAGACGACAAAAATAACAGATAAACGACGATGACATTTCACAGAAAAATAAAGAAAGAAAGAAAGAAAAAAAAAAAAGTGTTGGTTGACGATTTACAGTTTTTTTTGCTGTAAAATTTTTAGTTGGAATTTTTTTTGTAAAATAGAAATATAATTTATAAAACAGGCGATGGGGGGTTTGAGGAGCGGGGATGGGGGGGGGAGGAAGGAGAAAAAGTTTATTTTTGTACAGATGTTTTGTTATTGTACATTAATTGTTTTCATTTCCTTCTTTTTTTTTTTTTGTACAAAAAACCTTTCAAATAATTACCATACGTTAGAAAAATTAAACAGGAAAAAAAAAGGAAGGAAGAAATCTTTAACAAAAGTCACTTACTTTTTTTTTCTTGTTAAACATTTTCTGTGTAATTAATGAATACGGCTAAACAGTGAAAAAAAAAGAAAAAGTTTCTGCTTTACCATAAACTAATATAAAAAAAATTTTTGATAGTTATTTTTAGTTAGCTTTTAGGTTGACAGCTTTTTTTTTGACTTTATCAAAATTTTATTTTATCTGAATTATTTGCTATTTGTTGACAGTTTAAAACATTGAAGGCAGAAAATTTCACTGACAGTTGACGATTAACTGTTTGATGTTAACTATTGTTCGTGCCTTTTTTTTTTATCTTTTTATTCTTCCTCTCTTTTACTATTCCAATAATTCAACAAAAAAAAAATTTATTTTTTGTAAGAAAGTTAATGCTGAAAAAAAAAAGTTTTCAATTAGTTTATTACAGCAACACAATACAGCCATTTTTTATGCAGCTATTTGTTGGTGAAATTTTTGATATACTGACGACAGCCTCTGATACTGTACAAATTTACTGATATCAAAATTTTGATTCAAAAAAAAAAACTTAACTATCAAAATTTTTTGTATAAAAAACCTTAAAGTTACTGTTTACAAATTAAAAAAGTTGGCTTATTTTATTGACATTTCTATGCTTTACAGTTATTTGTCATTAAATACATTCAAATTGATTTGGGTGGTATTCCTTTTTTTT